CTAGTAGCGATGCCAGGAGCCCCTAGTAGCCTCCTTGCTCCTAGTAGCGATGCCAGGAGCCCCTAGTAGCCTCCTTGCTCCTAGTAGTATGGCCAGGAGCTATTAGCAGCGTCCTTGCTCCTAGTAGCGATGCCAGGAGCCCCTAGTAGCCTCCTTGCTCCTAGTAGCAAGGCCAGGAGCTATTAGCAGCGTCCTTGCTCCTAGTAGCGATGCCAGGAGCCCCTAGTAGCCTCCTTGCTCCTAGTAGTAAGGCCAGGAGCTATTAGTAGCTTCTTGCTCCTAGTAGCCATGCCAGGAGCCCCTGGTAGCGTCCTTGCTCCTAGTAGTAAGGCCAGGAGCTACTAGTAGCGTCCCTGCTCCTAGTAGCGATGCCAGGGCCCCCAGTAGCCTCCTTGCTCCTAGTAGTAAGGCTAGGAGCCCCTAGTAGCTTCTTGCTCCTAGTTGCGATGCCAGGAGCCCCTAGTAGCTTCTCAAAAGCCCAGGATCGGAAATCGTACCAACATTACCAATTGTTCGGACCATTGCACTCACATTGATTGGAAGATCACTCTCCTGACCTCGTCTGGCTTGGGACTCTGGATTGCAAGCTCTTTAGAGCATCACGTGTGACGTCGTTCCGAAATGATCATGAACATCAAAGCTGTGAGGAGCAAATACACTGGACATCGGCCTCATCACCATGCAATACTTCTGGAAGTTGATTCTTTCTGCCCCCTGCCGCAGATAAAGACCCTCAACATGGACAGCTCACCGAAAGGGCCAAAATGGCCAAACCACTTCACACACCTCAGTTCAGAGTGTCCCCTTTTCGTACAAGTCACATCAGTCACATCACCATGTGCTGGGAAATTCTGTTTAGACTCGTTGGGTTCACTGCCACAATTCCCCACCTGACACAATCCAGCCCTGTGGAATGTCTCGCAACAAAAGCTCTAGAACGATGGAAAGGAAAGAGCCTCTCTTGGATGGGGAGTCATCTATTTATTGTAGTCGCGGGGTTGTATATTCTCAATAAACAAAAGCCTTAGTAGTTGCTGCCATGGGATGTGAAAGTATACAGTCAGTTGTGCGTTGTCAAGGAACATCCAAACATCCAAATGCACTATAATGCTGCATCATAAACAAAAACATGCACATTCTGAAAACTAGCTTTACCATTGCAACACAAAGCCTCCTGAAATCATAACTAACTTCATGAAATACAAACGTGCCAAGTATGATCAAGTATGACGGTATTCTGGCTGGGTATGACTCGTTATTTATGAAGATGTTATGGTCCTTTCCACCCCTTTCCGTGACCAGACCTCATTGATCATCTCTTGAAGCTTCGCCAGCCTCGTTTCATTGATCCAAGACGAAACGATGGCTTCTTTGAACAAACGCTTTGCAAGTGACGAACCCTCTTTTTGGGCCCGCGGCCTTGCCTCCTTACTTGATTAAGTAGGCGCCTACTTAAGCTGGCTACTTAAGTTACGACATATGGACGCAGGATGGCTCACGCCAATCATTTGGTTCCTAGATTTCTTGTGAAACTCAACTGGAAAAGGAAAGGTCTGTATATATATATATATATGTTAAGTTTCCCCCAAAAAGATCTAGGAAACAAATCATGACTCAGGCTTCTTCAAAGAACTCCCCTTGGGTGAAGTCCCCTTCATGCAATCATAGGTCCAAGAAGCTTCTTTGGAAAGCCCGGCAGCTGCTTGATGACGTCCACCTCAGCATGGAGTCCAAGGGCCAAGAACCACGTGTCTTCTTCTCAGCGAGTGCTTCATAGCCAGCCGTGACACGCCTTTCAGCATGCACCAGTTCGGCTGGGTTCATACTATATATATATATATATCTTTGTGACGCACAGTGACCGGATCGTAGCTTGCACGTACGCCCGGCTATTTCAACAGTATGCGGTATGCATAAGTCCACTTGACATGACCTCATAGCACAGAATCATGAGAAATATGAGATCCTCCCAAACAAACCTCACTTCGATCATAGGGCATGGTTTTTTTTCCGCCCTGTTTGGGTTCTATTTCCACCTTGTCATGCATGGGCTTTTTTTTAACCCTGTACACGGTTCTTTTCTCACCCTGCACAGGGTTCCTTTTCCACCCTGCGCAGGGTTCCTTTTCCACCCTGTGCAGGGTTCCTTTTCCACCCTGTGCAGGATTCCTTTTCAGGGTTCCTTTTCCACTCTGTGCAGGGATCCTTTTCCACCCTGTGCAGGGTTCTTTTTCCACCCTGTGCAGGGTTCTTTTTCCACCTGCGCAGGCTTCGTTTTCCACACTGTGCAGGCACCCGGTGCAGGGTTCTCCCTGTGCAGGGTTCCTTTTCCACCCTGCGCAGCATTCCTTTTCAGGGTTCCTTTTCCACTCTGTGCAGGGATCCTTTTCCACCCTGTGCAGGGTTCTTGTTCCACCCTGTGCAGGGTTCTTTTTCCACCCTGTGCAGGGTTCTTTTTCCACTTCGTTTTCCACCCTGTGCAGGATTCCTTTTCAGGGTTCCTTTTCCACTCTGTGCAGGGGTCCTTTTCCACCCTGTGCAGGGTTCTTTTTCCACCCTGCGCAGGGTTCTTTTCCACCCTGTGCACGGTTCTTTTTCCACCCTGTGCACGGTTCTTTTTCCACCCTGTGCAGGGTTCCTTTTCCACCCTGTGCAGGGTTCTTTTTCCACCTGCGCAGGCTTCGTTTTCCACACTGTGCAGGCACCCGGTGCAGGGTTCTCCCTGTGCAGGGTTCCTTTTCCACCCTGCGCAGCATTCCTTTTCAGGGTTCCTTTTCCACTCTGTGCAGGGATCCTTTTCCACCCTGTGCAGGGTTCTTGTTCCACCCTGGCAGGAAAGAAACCCCGCAGGGCAGGAAAAGAAACCCCTGCAGGGCAAAAAAGACTTGCAGAGCAGAAAAGAAAACCCCTTGAGGGTGGAAAGGAAACACACAGCGCAGAAAGGAAACCCTCGTAGGGTCAAGAAGTGACTGCTGCAGTTCGACGAGGACCTGCCTCAGGATGGAAAGGATACCCCTGCAGGGCAGGAAAGAAACCCCAGGGCAGAAAAGAAACCCCAGCAGGGCAGGAAAGAAACCCTGCACAGGGTGCCTGCGCAGGGTGGAAAAGGAACCCTGCACAGGGCACAGGGTGGAAAAGGAATCCTGCACAGGGCACAGGGTGGAAAAGGAATCCTGCACAGGGTGGAAAAGGAATCCTGCACAGGGTGGAAAAGGAATCCGGCACAGGGTGAAAAGGGAATCCTGCACCGGGTGGAAAAGAACCCTGCACAGGGTGGAAGAAGAACCCTGCACAGGGAGAACCCTGCACAGGGTGACTGCGCAGGATGGAAAAGGAACCCGGGCAGGGCAGAAAAGAAACCTCCGCAGGGCAGGAAAGAAACCCTGCAGGGCAGGAAAGAAACCCCTGTAGGGCAGGAGAAAAACCCTGCAGGGCAGGAAAGAATCCCCTGCAGGGCAGAAAACAAACCCCGCAGGGCAGGAACAGAAACCTCTGCAGGGCACAAGCCTCCAGGGCGGAAACTACCAGGACTGCACAGGGCGGAAAAAAAAAAAAAAAACCTGCAGGGCAGAATGCAGGGCACAAGCCTCCAGGGCGGGAACTACCAGGACTGCACAGGGCGGAAAAAAAACCCTGCAGGGCAGAATTAAAACCCAGCCCTCAGATCTCATTTACACCCTGAGAGCTTCCCAGTGTCCTAAGGCCTGGGCAATACCAGGCCTTACTAGACCTTACAAGGCCCCAGTCCCGACAAGGTCTGTGCGGTTCAGCCAAAGGTGCCAGGGTCGAGATTGCCACGGTGTCAGACTCAGGGTGCATTGACCTTGGTGTTTTTGGTATATGGTTTTCCCAAACATTAAAGGTGTCTCTGCGCATGAAGCTGATGGAAATGACCTGGCGTAGCATGTGACATGTTTGAGGCATACTGGCATACCCTTGATCGAGCTGTCATTGAATTCTCTGTAAATGTTCGACAAAGATCGACAAAAATGATCCAAGGAGCCACCAGACTGAGCAGAAGTTGTCCACGGCTTCTTTGTCAAGACCCAAGATGGTGCCAATTTGCCGATGCTTCATGCGGATATCCACGTAGTTCAGAACCTGTCTTGATTGCGGGGAAGGCTCGTGGACGGCGGCACGATCCTTACTTCTTCCATTGTGGTTGCATGCATATGCGTGAAGCACAAACCTTGGGCAGCAAATTTATCAAGAAGTGTCACGAGATCACAAGAGTGGGTGACAGTGAATTGGCATCAAAACTTGTGCTGGAGGCAAAAAACAATCAAAATCCTATCTCCACAAAGCCGACACTGCATTATGCGCCTTTAGCAAGCCGCAAATGTCAACCTGGGTTTGAGAACCAACGCCAGGCATCTGCAAATTAATTTGGTCTGGGATCTTCTGGGGCTAGAAACAATAGCATCTACTGACAGTGCTCCGTTTGCATGGTGGCAAAATGGTCATAACCATATAAGTTTAAGAAAGACCTGACAAATCTCATGCACAAACAAAGCTGTCAAATGAAGAGAACATGGAAACAAGGAAGCTAAGGCCCCTTCAAAGGAGCCTTACCTTCCTTTGTTCATGTCTGCTTTCTCTTTCGTCCTGTATATAAACCTGACGCCTTTCGAAGCCCCTGTCCACTTCTTAGTATCCCCGCTGAAACAGAGGAGTTCCAAGAGACGAGGCGCATCTCCTGCGTCAGCGAGGCTTAGGCTAAAGCTTCCATTCTCGAAAGGGTCTGGTTGGAAACCCATCCCTTGAATCTTTTCGCATTCACTAGAATACCCACTTCCTCACAAACAGCCATGTCTGCACTTCCTGTTGGAGTGGTGAGATTCAGGCAATACTGGACACCTATTGAATGAGCTTCTCTCCCTAAGACTTGTCAAGCATGGACAACGGATGCACTTCCACGAGTATAAGGTGATCTCAAGTGGGTGCAGTAAAACAAAATTAAAATGATCTGCGCGTCAATTTGCTGAACCTCAATGAACCTAACTAGTTGTAGCAAGAAGCTACTAGGGTGGAGGCCATCGCTACTAGGAGCAAGAAGCTACTAGGGGCTCCTGGCCGTACTACTAGGAGCATCCTTACTATTAGTAACAAGGGGTAGCTCTCTCCACGCGCTCCCGCAAAATGCCGCTGGTATCGCCGTGGGGCCACTCGGACCGGAGCTGCTCCACTGTCCAGGCAATCTGCGGCAGCGCTCAGCACCGGTATCGACGAAGAACACCAGAGGAACTCGTGGGTTAGCCACAGATTTGTCCTTTACTCATTCAACCCACGGCCCAGCCCGGCCCAGCACAAGCAGTACCTGCAAAAGGTGTAGAGTCTAGAGAGCGAGACTCGCCCAAAAGTCAACGTCGAGGCTAAAGAACCATGGCTGTACCGTTGGGTGGCCAAGGAAGGTGTCCGGTTTACCCTTCGCAGGCCACAAATAATCCTGCCGATGACGGAGACAACCTTGACCAGCCCAGTTTCTTGCATGGTTTTTGCTATCATTAAATGATGCGTGGCCGAAGAAGAATCTGCCAGACGATACCGATAGACATTCCAGTTGCAATGTACATGTGGCGGCGACAACCCTGAAATAGTACAAAAGTGGAGTTCCATGTTCCATGAAAACTTAATGAAAAGGAACGGAATTGCCCATGGTTCAAGAGACATTCTTTCGAAATTGCAAGTTCACAATGTTGACCTACCAAATGTATTGCAATTCTCACCGCTCCCAAGCCTGGCCTCATCATCTCGGATGTGGCCATCCATCTCCCGATCGGCCTAAGAGACGGGATCATTGCAAGCCCGCTCGGCCCTGCCTCGTTACTCAACTAAGTAGGCGCCCAGTCAATTAAGTAAGGGAGAAGTTCGCTCCTAGCTACTGGGCGCTACTACTTACTACATATGGACGCAGGATAGCTCACGCTCGCACTAATCATTTGGATTCCAGATCTTTAGGGAAACTTAACTACTGTAATGAGGTCTCTCCAAAGCGGCCCGGAAGGAGCCCAGTGGGAGGAAAACTTGCAAAGCAAGGTCTGGAGCATAAGGCAACCCCGCCTTCTCGAAGGCAACAGTTCCACAGTTCATCCCACGGTCGCTGCAAATGACCACTTGACAGGTTCAAGCCATGGGCACACGCACTACCCTCAATTGTCCATCAACAATACCATCAACCAGGCCCGAAGGAATGTCGTTTGGCGAATCCTGAACTGCCTGGCTCGGTCATCATTGGTGCTGCTCAACGAGTTGTGGCAGCAAGATCCGGGCCAAGTTGGGCTGCTTGACCACAAGCGCTTTGCCATTTACCATGTTTGTCCTATGACATTATGAAGAGTTGGTGGTCACACCTGCGAAAAGCCACAACACATCATGAGCAGTTCAAAACGCACTGGCTGTTTCAAAAGTGGTTGAAAGCGAAAAAGGATTGAACGGCTGGTGTTGGGGGCCCCTTTCAGAGCGTTTGTGGCTGGCACTAACACAGTTGACGAGAAGACTTTGAAGCAGAGTTCTCACTTCAGGTCAAACACTCCAGGCAGCCGCACCAACATAAAGTTCAAGCGGATCCAATCGAACTCCTGGTGTATAGAAGGACTGACCAGAGCTGCTAGAATTTCTTGCCGCAGCAGTCTCCTCTTCAGTGATTTATTCTGAATCTTCTTGCAGACTTGCATTTTATGCTGTTCAAACCAACATATTGGCACACTGGCTTGTACATACAGTCCACAGGCAAACAAACCCAGGTGTTTGCACGAATCCAAGCAAATGATACCGATGAGCAGTAGCACTGGTGTTTTGCCCTCTTCGACTCATCATTGTTTCAAGTGTTGACTTTAAGGTATAGGTCTCGAATTCCAGATGATCATATCTTTCACTGTCAGGGGCCCGTCTGAAATCATACCGCTCCCACCTCCGCACCCCAGCCATACTTCAGCGCCAGGTCAGCGTGTTCACGCTTCCGGCGTCTCCGCAGCCGCGAGGTCACGAACTTCACCTGGCAGCCGTGGCCGTGTGCAACGCTGTGAGGACCTGCCTCTACTCCTAAGAAAATAAAGGATAAGAAGAAACTAAAATATGGAAGCTATTAGGTGGAGGCCATCGCTATTAGGTGGAGGCCATCGCTAGCAGGTGGAGGCCGTATCGCTAGGAGGTGGAGGCCATCGCTAGGAGGTGGAGGCCATATCGCTGGAGGCCA